ATAAAGCCAGTCTTACCAGAACATGGGTTGGTGAGACTGGGACAGGAAAAAAACTAAAGTGGTGAACCACTGCAAATAACTCGAAATGTTCTCTAAGCCAGAAAAGGCCGGCATTTTCAGTTCATTCAAGTAAGCTCTGTTTTAAACTTTATTAACTATTTTTTTTTTCTTTTGAGAGCTTTTTTGCTATAGGGTACATGCATTCACCAGAAAGACAGAGAGAGACAGAGAGACAGAAAGTGAGAAATCACCCCCAGGGGGGATGGCCATGCCGCAATCCCTTCTCCTCCTTTCTCCTCTTGAGATCTTGGGCATGCATGCACATGCGCCCAGTGTGAGTTTAAGCCATTGGGTCTGGGACTCAAACCACAGTCAACCATGTGGGAGTTCAGTGACATAGCCATTAGGCTAACTGCTGGTCCCACTTTATTAACTCTTTCAGAAGGAAAATATGAAAAAAAAGTGCCAGGCTCCACTGACTATGACACCAGAGTAAGAAGGGTAATCAAGCAATACTGCTTCTTATAGCCTTTTTTAAAAAAAGAGATTATTTTGCTATAGGGTGTGTGCACTCACCAGAGAGAGACAGAGAGACAGAAAGCAAGAAATTATCCCCCAGGGGAATGGCCATGCTGCAATCCCTCCTCCTCCATTCTCTAAGGATTTTGGGCATGCACGCACATGTGACTGGTGTGTGTTTCAAAGCCACTGGGTCCGGGACTCAAACCGTAGTTGACCACATGAGAGTCCAGTGATATAATCATTACATTATCTGCTGCTCCCACCTTTTTTTGTTTTTAAAGTTATATTTTTATTTATTACTTCCACTGAGTGAAAAAGAGAGTGAGACAGCACCCCCAACAGATCTTGCTGCTGCAGTCCACTCCCAGCTTCAGCCATCCCTGGATTACTGGTACACAGCCCCGGGTATCCAGAGAGGTCTTCAGATGCAAACCTGGAACTTTTCCATCTGGGTCAGCCTTGCAGAGCATCATGTTGGCTGCTGTGCCACTGTCCAGCCGCTTAATAACCCTTTAATCTTGAGGGTTTCCCCTCCATCTTTTAATTAATTTATTTTTAAAATTTTCTATAGGGCACACACACTTGCTGAAGGGGGTGGAAGTGAGAGAGAACCCCTCCCGGGGAGGGGGCAATGACAACATTGCAAACCCTTCTCCTGCATTCTCCTTTCTGGGATTATGGGCATGTATGTGCATACATGTGCCCAACATGTTTTTCAATCCAGCGTCCAGGACTTGAACCACACAGTCAGCCACATGGAATCCAGTCACCTTAATCACCACATCACTTGGCTGGCTCCCTAATCTTGAATTTTTAAATTACCATTGTCCTTAATGTTATAAGCATGATTTGAAAATGGAGAACACTCACAAATCCTGATTTTTATCTCATTGACTAAAATTTCAGTTGGTTGTTAGTCAATGCATATTTGGTTTTGGGAAATAGGTTTCAAAGGTAAAAGCTGCAAATATCTCTGTGGCAACTCTGTTTCTTTCATATAATTGCACTCTGTAGACAGGCATGAAAGTGGGAAGAGGGCCTCAGAGATATAATGCTTACAACCAACCATTTGCTTATAAGATCGCCTCTTCTTATAAGGAGGACTGCCTCCTTTTTGGCCTTTTTTGTCCATAATTTCAGAGCAAAACAACAACAAAAAACTGTTTCAAGGTGTTCCTTGGTCAGAGATTTGTTGTATCTAAGGATGATTTGTTCCACCAGAGCTGGTTTTTATTTGACATGGCATAGCCAACCAATGGTCAGTAATTTTAATTAAACAGCAGAGAGCAAGTTTTGTGTTTGGTGACCTGAATGTTCCCTTTTCATAATAAGGAAGGGACATAATCTTTCATCACCAAAGACCCTAGTAGTAGACCGTTAGGCTGACAGGTTGAAATTGAGTGAAGATCTGAGGTGTTGAAGAGTCGCTCATTAAAATAACCCTGTTACTAACAGTCATGCTGTAAACCGAGCTCTTTATAGATTGAGCAATCAATACTACAAGGCTGTGATAGATTTTCTAGGTAACAGAATAAAATAAAAGAAATTATATCTTATAGGGTCATTAACACTCAATAAGGATAAGCTGAATTCCTTTCGCCCCCTTCTGATAAGATCTAACTGGGCCTTAAAATGTTAGCAATTCCATTAGGGAAGAGCACGGTGTTCAAGGAACAGGGTCCATGGGATGGTGGAGAAAAGTACTCGGATTTTAAAAGAGCCATAGTATCTTCCAGGAGAAAAGGCAGAAGGGAAAGGACAACTTACTTAATATTTTTTTTCCTCTAAAAGGCATGCAACATCTGAGAAAAAACTACTAAGTTAAGCAAACTTGTACTCCTTATCTATGATGTATAATTCACATTATCCTAGAGTTCCCTGCCTGGTCTTTCTTTAAATTTGCTAGAGGGTATGCTCTTGCTGGAGAGAGAGAGAGAAGACAGTGAGAAAGCAACTCTCAATATCTTCTTCATTCTCCTCTTGGGATTTTTGGGCATGCATGCACACATCTCCAGAGTACTTTTCTTTTTCTTTCTTTCTTTTTTTTTTCCAGAGTACTTTCTAAGCTGCCAGGTCCAAGACTCGAACTATGCAGTCAGCTATGTGGGATCCAACAGCCTTATCCACCAAGCCACAGGCTGACTCAACTCCCCCCTGCCTTTTTAAAAAAAGTTTATTTCTTTCATGGGAGAGAGAGTGCTACAAAGAGCAAGGGCAAGAGAGAGACGGGCATCTATGATAGGGTCTCACCATGCCACGATCCCCTCCCCCAGCATTCCAGCCAGCCAGAATCACGGGTGCCCATGTTCCCGGTCAGCCTGAGATCTGAGTTCCGATCATTCATGTGGCTCCCATTGCAGAGTGAGTGGCACATCATCATCTGCACCGCTGTGGCTGGGCCTCCCTGCATTTTAAACGCTTTCCCAGACCTCTATATTTTATAGTTATAAAACTAAGCGATGACATTTGGATGTTACATATTTGTTGCTGTTTCTATAGTTCCTTTGGAGAAAAGGCGCTATATAAATTCAATAAATAAATAAGTAAACACAAATAATAAAAATTCCTGCTTCGGATTCTGCAGAGAGAGCGAAAAGTCCGCTTGCTTTTTAATCACTAAGTCACTAATCATTATAACTGGTGGGAAGTGTAAACCATAGAAACATATTTAGAGCTCACTATACTTTAACAACACCTATTATGGAGGCAGGAAGCATGAGGAACAAAGGCTTTTTTTTTTTTTTTAATTTTGACTACTAAGTTATAGCTGTTGGAACAGTTAAGAAATAAATCTCTCACCTCCCAGGTATAACCTATGAGAGGCAGAAAGAGAAAATGAGATGAAGGAAGAGTCTGAAACTGGATTTTAGACTTTGCCAGAGACCTGATGCTTCGTGAATGGAGTTTAATATACAATTGGCCATAGGAAGTTTACAGTCATTCTACTCAAGCTGTCCATGTGGAGTGTGTCTTTTCTGCACTGGTGACAGAAGTTAGTTGAGAAAAGACATAAGCAGGACACACGTTGGTCAGACAGGTTTTCTGCTCGAATTCGGACAGCAAGAAAACAGTAGAAAACAAGTTTCAGAATGAACTTAATTACATGTGCTAATAATTAGCATGAAGTACTCAAAATGATGCCAGCATCCCTGCCCTATTCTTGCCTCAGTTGCTAATTTCTTTTTCCTTTAAGAGAGAGCGCATGTGCTTACTGGAGAGGCAGAGCGAGACAGAGAGAAAGAAAGCAAGAAATCACTTCCCAGGGGATATGGTCACACCACAATCCATTCTCGTCCATTCTTCTCTCGGGCATGCACACACACGTGCCTGGTGTGAGTTTTAAGCCACAGGGTTTGGGACTCGAACCATGATTGACTACATTGGGGTCCAGAGATGTAACCATTATGCCATCTCCTGGTCCCAGTTGCATGATATTAATCTTGCTTTGGTTTAGGACTCCTGATGCTGCTTCTTCTCTGTCTTTTCTATCACTGGGAAAAGTCTGGCCTTTCTGAAGCTGGATCCTTCATTAAACCCTCTAAGTTTTCATTTTCTGTAGCAAATGAACCACAGGAAGGAGCTCTGCTGAATGGGCAAGGAAGAGGAAAACAAGGCACGGGAAAGGAGGAGAGAAGAGAATGGGAAATGTGAGTTGAGAGAAATGGACAGGAAGCAGGGAGAGAGAGAAAGAACTCCTGGCCTTAAATTTTCAGACTCTAAGAAAAAAAGCTAGTATCTAAATTGGTCATGATTCAGGCTCTGCTGACAGGATGAACGTCCTTGAGTTGGCCCTTGCAATGTGCAGTGTTCCTTTACTGATGACGACGGACTAGGTCCGTGGTCCACTTAAGGAGGCTTCAGAGGGGCATTTGACCTTAGGAAGGATGGGCTCCCTAACAGCCTGAAGCATGGTTAACAGTCTGGGATGAATAAGATGTAATTTTGTATTCAACAAACCTATTACATATTCATTTCCAAATGTGCCTGGAATCAAACCAGGCCATCAGAAGTCAGCAGCACCAAGCAATTCTATTCCTCACCCCACGTTCACTTTTCAGATCTGACATATTTCCATTCCCCTCTGAACTTGCAATCTCCGGGCCTCTCAGAGACGAGACATTTCCATTCTTTCCATTCTCAATCCTCTGATCTCTCTGAGATGAGGCAATTCTATTTTCACCGTACTGATTTAAGAAATACTGATAGGAAAAAATAAATATCTGGTTTGGCTTCCCACCCTCTCCAGGATAACTCTTAGCTGTCCTGGGAACATTAATTGAAGTAAATAAATGGGTGACTGTTTTTAATGTTAAAGTGTTTCCCTATCTAGTCACCTGATTTGGGACTTTCGGGGTCATACACCAGTACCCTCTTAATTAGCGAGCCCAGTAATGTTGATAGTCCGGGAGAAAGGTTCTTTCTCTAGTCGCAAGCCTGACTGTTGTACCCAGCGCCTGTGCACATGCAAAGCTCCATACCTCCTTTTCGTTGAGTGTCACTCTCATCCTCTTCTCGATCTTGCTCTTCATCTGGGGGGATAAATGGTCAGTGTTAGTAATCAACCACTGATGGACTCATGTTCTTTATATGAAGGGGACTCTTTGAGCTCATCATACGCTCTTCTTTGAGGAAAGTTTAATAATGATGTTTTGCTTTAAATCATCTCTCACTTTGAACTGGCCCTCTCCTCCCTCCCTTCCATCCATTCACTTATAAACATTTTGAAGTGCTTAATACATGCAAGCTGCTGCTCTAGGAACTGTGGGCAAGCAACAGACAGGACTGTAAAGGTCCCTGCTCTTGGGGGGCTTCCAATCCATTGAATTATTTAGGTGCCTATCACTGCGATCCTAATCTTTTTTCTCAAATCGCCATGTCTTTTCACTTTCTGGAATTCTCTTCAAAATGTATTGTCTCCGTGTAAACATCCTGTTACTAAGCTCCAGAGTAAGCATGTTAGGGAGTGTGAGTGTGTGTGTGTGTGTGTGTGTGTGTGTGTGTGTGTATGTGTGTGTGATTTGAAGTGGGTGTTTAAACCCTCTGTGATTAATTAGTCCTTAATGTATCTATCTTTGTTCAGCTGTAGCAGAGGCTGGTCACGTAGATAATTTTATGTTCCTGGTACTTGGGGCTTGTAGTTATGTTTTACTGTTTTTTATTCAGCTTGCTTTGTTCATTAGAGTATAAGCTCCTGAGGGCAGTTGGAATGGTCTTTTAATTAATTGCTGTAGATTCACATGGGTTCTAAGTCAATGCTAGTGTCTAATTCCAGTCAAGTGTTTATATAGTCAAAGTCACAACGTGATTGGCCTAAGTTTCTTACCCTCATTAACCTGTTTTGTCTCAGGCTTCATACTACCTGGTAATATAATACGAACTGGGCCTTTATAATGAAAGTATGTGTGCCAGAATCCTATTTACCTACTAAATACATGGAGCAAAATGAGAAAAAATACTATTCTTTTCACCACCATCCTTCTCTCTTTCTCTTTTTCCTTCTTTTTTAAATTGGCAGAGGGTATGTGCTTGTCAGAAGGAGAGACAGAGAGAGGAGGAAGCACCCCCCAGAGGGTCATAACCACTTCTCCTCCATTTCTCTATCCTGTTGGGATACTGGGCATGCACGTCCATGTGCCTGTCCTATTATTTAAGCCACTGTGGTCAAGATTCAAACTGTAGTCAGCCTCTTGGGCTCTAGGATCCCTTCATCACTAAGCCATGGGGTTGGGCCATCGCTACCCTCTTCTCTCTGTCACTCACACACCTGCACGGTGAAGAGAGTATAATAAGCAATGTTTTGAGGTCTAGATACTCAGGTTCTCTTGGCTGTATCCACTTTCCTTTCTCTTTCTGGGTCTCAGGCACTTGCTTGTCTTGCTTTCTATAACTATGCCAAATAGAGCCTTTGGGGAGATGGCCTAGAGACATCCCCTCTTGACCTACCCCCTTTTTTTCTTTTCTTTCTTTTATTTTTTTTTAGAGGTTTCTGTTATAGGGTGTGTGCGCTCACCAGAAAGAGAGAGACAGAAAGACAGAAAGCGAAAAATCACCCCCCAAGGGGGATGGCCATGCCATGATCACTTCTCCATTCTCTCTCGGGATCTTGGGCACGCACGCACAAGCGCCCGGCATGAGTTTAAGTTACTGGGTCCGGGACTCTAATCGAATCGCAGTCAACTGCATGGAGTCCAGCAACATAGCCATTACGCTAACTGCTGGTCCTCCACCTCCTTTTTTAATGTAAAATTTATAGGGCAATATGAATTCTGTTAAGTTAGATTTAGAGAAGTAAACTTTGAGCCCATAGGTAAGAAGAAATAGCACAAAATATGTTAGAACACTATAAAACACTGAAGAGGTAATTAATTTCACATTAAAAATGATACCATTCCTGGGAACCAGCAGTTAGCGTAATGGCTATGTCGCTGGACTCCCACGTAGTTGACCGCGGCTCGTGTCCCGGACCCAGTGGCTTAGAACTCACGCCGGGCACGTGTGCGTGCGTGCCCAAGATCCCAAGAGGAGAATGGAGGAGAAGGGATTGCGGTGTGACCATCCCCCCTGAGGGGTGATTTCTCGCTTTCTGTCTCTATGTCTCTCTCTGTCTGGCGAGCACACGCGCCCTATAGCGAAAACCTCTCCAAAAAAAAAAAAAAAAAAGATACCATTCCTTGCAAAAATAAAAATTAAGGGATTGATCCTCTGGAGAAGTAAGTCATCTTTTACCAGGATTAAAATAAACACCCATATACATACTTGCCCTACAACATGCTTTGGGAAGAGAAGCATTTGACTCAACAATTCTTGTCCCATACATGGTCTAGCAGCACACAATTTCCTGACCACCTGCAGTGCTGCTTCAGCCCTACCATAAAGAATAAATACGTGAGATAATGGAGGAGTGAAATCAAATATAGGAAATAGATTACACTGAAATAAATCACATTAAACATCATTCTTGGCACATTGTCTTCTCATTACTTGTCCACTTCCTTCCTCTGCTATGATACTTTTCTTTTTTGAGGAGGGACTAATTTTATGGGATTGAAAACATGAGAGCAAGAGTTGATTCATACTCAGTTTTAGAGATACCCAATAATTTGGACAGAGAGTAGCTCTTCTGCTGATTTCCAACAACTCGACCACGAAGCCCAATAATTTGCTGTGCCGATGCACTTTTACAGAGAGGGTTCATTCTACCTCTGCTGTCTGTGCGCAGCTGTCTCTTCCTCCCAATTCTAATCAATGTAAATTGGGTCAGGTCTCCGCTGTGAATTACAAATTGGATCCGAAGTTGGAGGGTCACCGTGCCTGTTACTTCGCCTCCTTCCCACCACCATTAGATGGGAAGCTACACCAAAGATCTTTTCTAAATAAATCAGACTTTATTGTAAAACTCGGCCACTGACGAGACATAACCTCATTAGCATTGATTTTAAAATAAATTATTGAAAGTGGCTTGCCTGCACTTTGCATTTGTAAAATAGGAGAATGTAAATGTATTTGCAACGATAAAAATGAAAACTAAAACTTGATTCCTTTATCCTTTCAGGCAACAGCACTTAATCTATTCGTGATGTAAAAATGGAAAAAGTAGAAACCCATTCTATACAGTTCGATTCCAGACCAGATACTCTGATTTTCATCGAGCCTTTGGAGTCACCTAGAAAGAAAGAAAAAGGCTGGCCACAGAGCTTATATATCACTCACTGCCATTACTAAGCTCTACAGTGATGGATGTGAACAGGGGAGCTCCAGTCCCCACATCTGTTCTATCTAATGTTGTCCTTCTCTGGTAGCTGAAAGTAGGCTCCAGTTAAGCCTTGCTATTGATGGGCTGGGTGCTGTGTCTCTGGGACCTTGGAAAGACCAAAGTGGGTGCAGGGGCACTGTTTCATAGTGAAGGAAAGGGCCTTCTACGACTGGTTATGAAAAACACCCTCCTTGACACCTTCCCAGCTTCAGAGGGCACAATAGAAACAGAGAAGTATACAATTGCTCCCAGATTTTCCATGAAATCCAACTGGGAAACTCCAAAATCAAGACCACTGATTATATGGCAACCAAAAAAAAAAAAAATCTCTTTTTGCTTAAAAAAATGGGGCAGGTTACAGACCTAAATTTCTCATTTTTATCAATTTATAACATGAGGCTTTACTTGAAAAAAAAAACTGTTTTGAAACATATGCTTTTAGGCTAAAAAGTTGGTTGAACATCTTTATAAGGATATTATTAGGCATTTTAACATTACATCTACTGAAATACATCTTCATTTAAGAGAGAATTAAAATTTATGTGCTAGCTCAACTTTAAACAGTAATAGATTATAATGGTCCTTGCTTCTAACAGGGCATATGGGACCCCAACCTTACATAGATTTTAAACAAATTAACCTCTAAAGATTACTGCCCACTTATTACATTAAATGCTCTACTTGATCCCCAAATATCTCATCTCAAATGGGAAAACAGTTGAAGAAGATTCTGTTAACTGTGTGAACATGTAAGAGAACCACGGGGCAGCACAAATGAGCATCAGTATCTGGAGAGTCGATTTCAATCAACATTCTTGGCACAATGTCAGGGACACTAATGAGAGGCTGAGAGGAACAGGACACTGAATCTACCTCAGAGGGACAGAGAGGAGCCAGCTTCTCATGACACCTGGCTCCCTTCTGAAGTAAGGCTTTGACATCCTTCTGATGTCAGCTAAGCCGATACTGGAAAGTAACATTTAAAAAATGACTAGATCAGAGAGGAAATGACTTTCCCCAAATAAAGCAAAAATGACAAAAGCTTAAAAAAGGCCACCGTATCAACAGGCAACCAGATGCCGAGGTACGCTACTGACAGATGCAACAGAAAGACTCAAAGAGCAAAGGAAACCTGTAGAAAAGTAGAAATAAACCACTCCATAGCATGCACGGATATGTTATAAATCAACTGTAGATACCAGAGATAGTGTGGGAGGAGGGTGGGAACTGGCAGAGGGTGACAAATAGGAAATAAAAAAAATATATATAAGAAACAAAAAACGAAAAATTATTTGTAGACGAGAACATGTATGATTAAGTCAATATATAGTGTATTCTGGATGGGAAATCACATTTTGTATGCTTTGATGATGTTCAGTGAATGAATGTTAAACAAATAAATTTAAAAGAAAAGAAAAAAAAAAGCACACCATACCCTGCAAAGATGTACAATGATTATAGGTAAATCATAAATTATAGTAAATATTTAAAAATAAATAAATACAAAAAAAATCCATGGATGCTCTAGCACCTCTTCAGACTACATGGAAAATACAAGCAATATGTTCATAATGGATTAATTCTCTGTTGTATATTTAGTCATCTCAATTATTCCTTCAAAATATTTGCATCCTATCTCCATGGTATGGTCTTGATGTGTAAGATATTAAACTCAATTTATGCTAACTGCAACACTTGGAATGCACTGAATTTAATTCCAAAAATAGTAACTGAGCACCTACTAACTGGAGAGAAGACCTAAATACAAATTGCCGTAATAAGGGCTAAAACAAAGCTTAATACTAATTGAATATCTGAGAGGATGTCACTGAGGAGACATATTTGAGCAGGATGTGTAGGATTTCAAAAGCCGTGTTGGGGGGTAGAACGAATAGCATGATGGTGGGTTTGGTGTTGGCCGAGTAGTACAGTGTAGCCAGGCTCACTGTGTGGGGGAGAGGGAAAAAAGGCTAGGAAGCTAAGGGAGGCCTTGAAGATGGTCTTGATGTTTTCTTTCTTCATAAATGTTCTAGTTTTGCTGTCTTCTTTTTCTTTGTTTAGACCTCTTACTACTGCCATTCCTCCTTCCTATGATCTTGGGCAACTGTATGAGGGGGTGTGGGGATAATTCTGCAGAACGCTTGCTTCCATTTGAGTCAAATTAAAAAAAAAAGTCATATACTTTATTATAAAGCAATCTAGTTTCTGGGTCTATAATAACCCCCTGGGGCAGTGTGGGCAGTCTTGGAATGTGCATGGAAATTCCCAGGGAGAGCGCTTCATCTCTTTTTCTGTTTGTTCTTAAAAATCTGTCTAGAGAACAGGGCTGGATCCTGTTGTCACTGTGTTTGCTACAAGGCCCCAAGTCTTCAATGGTCTCGGGTGCCACGCTAAATTCTAGCCTCGAGGCCTCAAACAAAAAGAAACCTGATAAAAATTGTTCTTTTATGGGATCTTGAATCATGTAACTGGGCCTGTGTTGGCCTGTAAAATAACTTCAAGGACAGTGAGAGAGGCTCAGAAAAGCCTCCCATTTTCTACATATTGCTTTAGCTTTTCTTCGCCGTAGTTCCCTGTAGTTTAATCTACTGCAAATGGGATCCTAAAAATCAAAGACTCCCATGCTTTCAACATAGATGTTCGGAAATCCCACTGGATAGCAGCCTTGAAACTGTATTATCCAGGACTAACATTTCTGTGGTCTGGCTGAAAACCATGAGAGCTCTGGTTTTCCCTCATGGGGAAAGGAGTGCTAGCCATGTAGCAAATGCTAATTATCCCATGATTAATATGATGTAGTATGTTTCATTTGATGACCCATACATTATTTTGATTAGGAAAAAACATTTTTTATTGACTTGATATGTAGTACATATGCTTTTCTCTCTATTAGAACTCCATCTAAATGATACTTCAGAAGCGAGCTCTCATTTTCATGGCTTTCTCCATAAAGACAGTGTGGGCTTGTGTAGGCCCCATCCCAGAGAGGAGGATGAGCAGAAATAGTAATGCTAAACATTCTCCACGAAGCACATTTACCTGTTATAATGAAACCAATGTTAGAGGCCCAAGTCATTTGACTACTGATGGGTATGCAAGGTTAGCACAATCCAATGTTACCGTCGGCTGTCCCTCCACCCAGCACCTGGCCTGGCAGTAAAAATGGGCCTGAGCAGAAGGTGTGCTCCACTTTCCATCTGGTCAGGATTTTCAATTTCACCTGCTTTGACACAAATACACATAGCTCGAAATGTCCAACTGGACCGCCTAGTCTGGATGGAGGGGGTGGCAATCTAGCCACCTTCAACTCTTCAAGGAGGTAACACTTCCTATTCAAACACTACCAAATTCATAACAGCCAGCATTCATTGAGAGCTCATGGGATGCCAGGGTTCTGTGCTGAGTTTTACAATTAGTTCTGTACTCCTTACCACATTCACCGAAGATAGCCACTGCTGTTTTTCTCATTTTAAAGGGTAGGAGAGCAATCAGACAGAGGGGGTAAATAACTTGCTGAAGGTCTCACAGCTGGCAGGTGGTAGGGCGCAGCCATCCTGACTTAGAGCCAGTACTTGGGCCTGCGTTACCCGAGGTGGTCTTGTGAAGTGGCAGCCCAGGGGGGACAATGTTAGGTCTCTTCACATTCCCTCCAGGACTGGTGGTGTGGCACATGCAAAACTCCTACAGCAATTTCAGAAGCAACAAGCTGGGCAGAGCAGAAGGAGAGCTGGGTGATGGAGACTTATGGCCAAAATATTCATAATTAAATGTAAATTCATTGACATCCCACCTATCTTCTTTTTGTGTGTGTATTTAAAGTTTACTTATTTCTTCTATGAATGAAAGAGAGACAGGGAAAGGAGAAGAGCAAGAATGAGAGAGACAGAACTCTCAACAAAGTCTGGATGTCATGATCTATCCCTAGCTTCAGCCAGCCCTGGACCATGGGAATGTGCTCAGGGAGGTCTCCAGATGAAAACCTCGAGCTTTCCCATGTGGGTCAGCCCCACAGAGCATTGTGTCTTACTGCTGTGGCACCATAGGACCCTCCAGAGCGTGTGCGTGCGTAACTTTATTTATTTAAATTTGATTGAAGAGGGACAGAGAGAAAGAGAAAGAGAAAGTAAGAAAGCAAGCTGCCAGGTCTGGGACTCGAACCACATTCGGCCATGTGGGAGTCCAGCACCCTTAACCACCATGCCACCTGCCAGCCTCTCCAGTGCAGTCTTTAAGAACTGTGATGGATAGAAGGCTCTTGGGAAAGATATCCTGGCTGGGTACAGCACTGTCTTTTAGAAACTCATAGGCAAGTTGGCTATTGTTACCTAACCTGCAGGAAGGGGCTCTGGCTTTCCTACTGTGTGATGGTCCTCACTTCTGATAGGCAGTAGTTGTGGGCACAAGCTAAGCAGCTCCTTCAGGAAGGCAGGCTAGTCTCCAGGCCATTGTGTCCACCCCAACACATGAGCGGGTGGGAAATGAAGAGGAACGCCCTGATACCTGGGGCAGTGCTGCAGTGGCTTTAGGGTAGGAGTTTAGGAGGTGGGAGAAAGATGATTTTTAGGAAGTTAATCATACATCTATTGCTTCTACTTGAGGGAAGCTGAGGGTCCCAAACTCATTTCATTTTCTGAGGACTTTTTCTTTTGCTCTCTTTTGATCTGTGTCTCTGGGCATCGGTTCCTTCCTCTCTGGCTCCTTTGAGACCTAGACATGGTGCATAAAAAGGCCCTTTCTTTGCAGCCCAGAAGGCTGAGTGGTTCAGGAGGTTTTCCTAGAGCACTCTTCCATAGCTGTAACTCAAAGTGAAGTGTCACCTGGATATTTCTCCAAGCCCAGGTAAGAGCAAACACAATGTGAGCTCACTAGGAAGATTCCAGCCAAGTTGGGGAGTGTATCTCCTTTTAGGGAGTATTGTGAATTAGATCCATTTCTGCACCCTGCTGTTGCAATGGAGCAGACTGTGAAAGGGAAGATTCTCAGAGGAGCTGTGTTTTAATGTAGCAATTTGATTCAATTTTCCACTCTATAAAATTACCCATCACTGCTCGTTGCTTTCTAACAGACACCTTCACTCTTAATTTAACAATCCTATCGAATTCTGCCAGGGAAATTGGAAAAATTTATCACCTGTGAAATTTTATTTTCCTTTGGTTGTATCTGTTTTTGTAAAACTTCATTAACGACGATGACTTGCTGAGGAAATTATCATTTTTTTTTTTAACTTCAGACACGAGAAATGGCTCGACCTCAACCAAGATATCATTTGCATAATAAAACACAACAAAAAGGCTGGGGAAGTCAGGACAGGCAGAGGCTGGAAGTGCTAGGAGAAGAAGCAGGTTCTCCTTGGTGGGTGAAGTCCCCACAGGGAGGGGACGTGGGGCCACAGTCCTGTTTCTTGACTCAGGAGACAATGACATGGTTTCTCCCCCCAGGGAAGAGACCATTGCAGTGTTGAGAGGGTTGGTCTCTCTTAGGAAATACAAGTTGCTAACTGAAAACACTTTTGGTAACCAGCACTTTCTTCAGGGACCTTGACTGTTAGATTCACCTTAGTTCCTAGGTTCATCAGGGATTGAGGTTTCCACTGCAATAAATTTAGGCTTAACTTGAATTTCTCAGCAGAGCACTGAACTCCTGGCAAATTTCCACAGGAGCGATCTTTCTGAATGGACTCGAAGAGTCAGCATTCCTGTGGTCTAACTACCTCACAATTAAAAGGATTGAGCTTCAGTTTTCCACAGTCTGGCCCCCACTGGGCTCTGCACTGTTCACCAGCTGCTGTCATCCCCACCAGAAGTGGCTACGGGGAAGCAGTGATGACTCTACATTCTCTGCGATGCTAGTTATCATACCTTTGGGGAAAAGAACTGTATAGACTAGACCTGCTGCAATGGTGGGCAGAGGACACATGTGAGGCTTATTTTTAAGAGATGTGATGCGATTCGTGGTATATCGGAACTAGGTAATAATGAGTAGTGCTCTGATAGGGTTCTACTGCTTCACTAAAAAGGACTGCCAGCATTATATATTTCAGGCTTTTGAAATCCTTCATAATTTTGAGGCAGCTTTCCATTAGTCTCACGATTATTCAGAAAAGAAGCTGAAATGAAATAGTTGATGACTCACCCTGAAACTCACAGTAAACCAATAAAAGTCAACATGAGTATTCTTTATTCTTTAACCTTGTTGACACATATAATTAAGTATATCACATGTCACAGCTGAAAGACACTCCTTGATTTAATTCATCTTGTTCCCAGAGTGGAGGAGAGCCTCTACACTGGGAATCAACTTTCCTACATTCTCTCCTGCAGAGGAGCAAAGTTAGATTTGGCTTCCATTCAGAGTTTTCTTTTCTTTTCTTTTTCTTTCTTTCTTTTCTTTTCTTTTTTTTTTGAGAGGTATTTGTTATAGGGTGCGTGCGCTCACCAGAGAGACAGAGTGAGAAATTGCCCCCCACGGGGGATGGCCACACCACAATTCCTTCTCCTCCATTGTCCTCTCAGGATTTTGTGCACACACACACACGTGCCCGGTGTGAGTTTAAGCCACAGGGCCCAGGACTCAAACTGCGATCGGCTACATGGGAGTCCAGTGACATAGCCATTACACCAATTGCTGGTCCCCACTTTGGAGTTTTCAAAGTTATACTCTTCCACCAGGTTAAAAGTTTCTGGAATTAATAGAAGATAATTAGAAGATGAAATCTCTCACCTGGTAAGACTTCATAAATATCTTCTTCTTTTTCTCCTGAAGGCTCTTTTATCCCCACATTCCCAGGCAAGATAATGGGTCTGCACTGGGAACCAGAATTTGAGGAGTCAAAACCATCTATGTCATCATACGTCTCTTCTTCCACTCCTTCTTCCTCTTCTTCTTCATATGGAATGGTTAAGGAGCTCAGATCTATCAAGGCAAAGATGAGAATTAAAATAAGGAGGAAAAGAAAAGAAAAAGGCCGGGAAGGAAACATGGAAAAGGAGGAGGAAGAGGCATGAGAATAAAACATGTCAAAAGAAAATGGAAGACTAGGTTAAGTGCTGTTATTTCTAATGTGGGCGTTGGTGGCAGGAAATCTACAGGAAAGGCCAGACTAGCATCAGGTTTAAACCATCAACATAAATCCTTCTTTGCAATAAAACTTGATCGGGATGAAGCAGCTCTGAAAAGTATGGATGTGTGAATGAGAACATAAGGCAAAGGCAAGAAAATAGGTCAGAAGAGGAAATGCCAGCATGCCACACACTACTCATCAGGGAGAAAACCGAAGGGTGAGTGAGGGCCAGGGGATCTCCAGGATGTACAGAGCTGTAGGAGCTATGCTGACTTCCAAAGGGTATCTCAGCTGTCAGAAACCCATCTCCCCAGTGATTTCACAGCAGAATTTCAGAAAAGCTTGCTTGTGGAGAGAAATATTGTCAAAAAAAAAAAAAAAAAAGAAAAGAAATGGGGTATAGAAAAATATAACAGTAATACAAGACCAAATGACATAGTTATCATGTCCTTTTGCAACTGTACCGTCTGGCTGACCTTAAAGTGGGTCACTGCATAGGGGATGATGAGCCATTACAGCACCAGGGAGCACCAGGGCAGGGGGGAGAGATTGGTTTTATTTTTTATTTTATTTTATTTTTTTAAATTTTAATGGGGAACTGGGAAGGTTCACTCTCTGACGGGTAGTACAAAGTGCTCTCTGAAACCCTGCTGAGGGGCCTCTGCAGGATGGGCAAGTGCCGTCAGCATGCTCTGGGGAAGGAAAGGATGGAGAGACACCAATGTTCATTTCAAAACCCAATAAAACTGTTTGGCTTGATTAGGCTTTTAATAAAGATTCTGTAACAATTTTCATCTGAATTCTGGTGCCACCTCATATGAGAAAAGAATCAAAGACACATTTGTGGCTTAAACCATATGTTATTATTTTGTTTGTTTTAAAATAAAATGGAATGAATAATTTTTTCAATGTGGGATTCTGAAAGTACCACAGGGTACAGCTCAATAAAGCTGCTTTGAGTTTTATTGAGGTTTACACACTTAGGGGTATATTACACGCATAAATCCAAGGCACCTAGATGAGAGGAGTGTACCCTGTAGTCTCGCCATCAATGTTCATGTTTGCCTAGTTCCAGTCTATTATACATGACGCTGTTGGTAGATGCAGTAGTTTGTTTTTGTGGTATCAAAGGCATAACTGAGTATTTTACTCAGGCAATTCTTGTAATTAAAGCTCTGATGCTTTCTTCTTTCTACCCACAATAAAATCTCATGGCAGAATGAATAGCAGAGATAAAAAGACTTGGTGATTTTAGGTTGACATGCATCTCCTCAGGTCAAGACCTAGGCCAGGTATTAAGTTGGCATGTCTGCCTTTCTGCAGAAGCAGGGTCCTACCATGAGAGTAGATGAGGGTTATCTGATGCCAAGTGACACGCTCAAGGTTGGCTACATCCACCTGCCAGGCCACTCCCAGATGAGGCTTTCTGGGCCACCGTTACTGCTGTGCCTACTGGCTGGCCAGTAGAGGGTACTCTAAGAGCAGTCATTTAACATCTTCAGGCAGGACTCTCCCCATCTCAAGGCAAGGAGCATTTTTACTGCGGGTTGAGAAATAGTAATTTGTTTCTAATGTCCGATGTCCCTGAAGGCCACCCAGACTAGTTTAGATTTCTACTTCTTCCTAAGACTAAAACAAGAAGATTTTTGGATCTTAACTGAAACTATTAATAGATGCCTTTAGTTGGATATCATAAATTTCCTTTCCAGAATATAAGAGGTTAGTTAGTAGACACTGAATTGGGCTGAACTGATTTTTAGAATCACTTTTCTAGTGATTATGAATACTTCCTAGTGATTATGTCTATAGGCAGGCAGATGAACTATGATACCAGAAATTATCTCCAGGTTAATAATCTCTTTACCTCCTGACTCATACACGGTACTATTATTTTATTATAATATGGGGGATAAGGTAGGGAGGGTAGAGGTGAGAAAGAGCAAAAAAAAATACATTTTTTAGATTATATTTATGCAACATAACTTCAGCTGAAAAGTCACACAAATGTTATTTTTGTAACAATGACACTTACCTTTTAACAAGAAGCTTATTTGATCCACCCAGTCTCTGGCTTCAGCTGGACTAGTAGCTGTAAACTAGAGAAAAAAAATCAATGAATTAATTTATGATCTTTATTAAAATTTCCATGAATCCTCTTCAAGGGGAAGAACCTGTGAGTTTCAGAATCAAATTTAAAGCTCAGGATTTTCTGTCTACTTAACATTCAGAAAAAAGACAAAAGTATGTCACTCAAACTGATATTTTTCCTTCATCAATTTCTTTTTTTAAAGTTCCAAAGGATATAATGTGTGTGTGCTCGCCAGAGAGAGAGCAGGAGAGAAAAAGAGAGAGAGAAAGGAAGTAAGAAAGCACCTCCTTGGGGAGATGGTCACGCCACAATTCCTTCTCCTTTATTCTCTTCTCGGACTTTGAGCACAAACACACATGCGCCTTGCAAGTTTTCCAAGTCACCAGGTCTGGATCTTGAATCATGCAGTTGGCCATGTGGGATCCAGCCACCTTCATCATGCACCGGCTTGCCCCAGCAATTTTGCATATATAGAGATGACAGCTCTTTAAATCCAGACATTCAAGCCCATGTGCACTCACTTATTTAATTGTCTATTCTTTTACCAGGCGATTATTTGAGAAAGTGTTTGGAGAAGAAAGGCAGGCCAGTACACACACGAATGGGAACACTACAAAGGAGTTGTGTTTTTTTTTTAGAGTTTTTTTTTTTTTTTCTATAGGGCGCGTGCGCTCGCCAGCCAGCCAGAGAGAGACAGAGAGATAGAAAGCGAGAAATCCCCCCCCAGGGGGGATGGCCACACCGCAACCCCTTCTCCTCCATTCTCCTCTAGGGATCTTGGGCACGCATGCACATTCGCCCGGCGTGAGTTTTAAGCCACTGGGTCCGGGATGTGAACCGCGGTTGACTACATGGGAGTCCAGCAACATAGCCATTATGCTAACTGCTGGTCCCAAAAGGAGTTGTATTTGATAAATGGTTTTTGAGAGGAGACAGGGAATGCTTATTGTTGCCTCGAGTATATCAAGACAGTTTGCCAAAGTAATACTGTTTTGGTTGGATTTTAAAACTGGTGGAGGGAGTTGGGAGAATCAAGTAGGGAGAATCGCGTGGAAACAGTAGGAGGGAAATGGTGGTGGCGCAGTGGTAACACAACTGGACCCATATGGGAAAGCTTTTGGGTTCGCATTCTGGGACCTCTCTGAATATGCCAGGTATATGTGCACATGACTCTGACCTGAGCCAGCTGAGACTGGGGATGGATCTCAGCATGGGGACCCTGTTGGGGAAGGGTGTTCTCTCTCTCTCTCTCAGAAAAAAGAAATTAAAAAAAAATTTTAAAGGGGGCCAGTAGATGGCATAATGGTTATGTTGCTGGAGTCACACATAGTCAACTGTGGTTTGAGTCCTGGACCTGGAGATTTAAAATTCACACTGGGCATGTGTGCGTCTGTGCTCAAAATCCCAAGGGGAGAATGGAGGAGAAGGGATTGTAGTGTGGCCATCCCCCCTGCGGGGGGTGACTTCTCACTTTCTGCTCTCTGTCTCTGTCTCTCCAGTGAGCACACTGCAAAAATCTCTTTTAAAAGAGGGCCAGCCCATTGCATGATGGTTAAGGCAGCTGGATCCCCGATGGTCAACACACAATTCAAGTCCCAGACCTGGCAGCTTGAGAAACACACCAAGTATGTGAGCATCCATACCCAAAATCTCAAAAGGAGGGAGAAATGAAGGAGAAGGGATTGCAGTGTGATCAGTCCCCATGGGAGTGATTTTTCACTTTCCTTCTCTGTCTGTCTCTGTTGGGCACATGCACCCTCTGCCGAAATTTTTTTAAAAAAAGGAACAGGGATGAGAACATCATGTACGAGAAGGATAGGCAGATCACCTTGAGTAGAAAACAGTAACAGATGAAGTTGAGAGTTGGGGTCTGAGAAGAGCTGATAAAAGGGCTCTGAGCACCAGAAGTTCAGACATAAAGCAGGCAGTAGGACGCCACTACTGATTCTAGCAAAGGGAGTGGAGTGGGGGTTTTCTCAACAGTAGTGTAGAGAACGGATGGGAATAGGGAGATTTGGAGACAGAAGACCAAGGAGGAGGCTCTTTAGTCTTCTGGATGAAGCGATAGGAACTTAAATATTTTGGTGGCTGTGAGAATAAATAAGAAGAGAAAGATCCAAAGGATACTGTAGAAAAATAATCCATATTTCATAGTAACGATTTGGATTCAATGGGCCAAAGAAGAAAAGTAAATAAACTAGGCTTTGATTGACAAAACAGACCAGTCAAGCATCAACCTTTAGCATGTTTTATTTCAAATTAATCAACTTGAAATAACTGTTCCTGAAAAACATCTAATTATCTGTCTGGCCATAAGGATAAGATAAAGATATATGCTGTCTAAAGAACCTAGTTTCCTGCAGGATACTTATTAATAGACATTGTCACCCTTGGTCTCTTTTCTTTATTTCTTCTTCACTCTTGGTTTCTTAAAGTGCATTTCTACAAAAAATCTCTAGGGACACTGGTTTAGACTTGTCATATAAACCTTTATATCTTGATGTGGCATCAACACTTTTCAGTAATCATAACTTAGAAACACATTCAGTGTATTATATATTTATTATATCTACTTATGGACTCTTTGGGAAAGCTTTAGTTTAAATAAAAAAGAATCCCTGGAAATTACATAATAAAGACCTAGGTCATTTTTATCAAAGTAGGGTTAAAATACTGTGGAAATATAAAAAGACAAATGCTGAGAAAAATTTGAAGAGTCAAAGGGTTTACTTGGATGGTAATTTAATCTTAGCATGAGTTTTTATCTTTGTCTTAAGTTAGTTAAAAGGTTTCTAAGTTTCTATAGTAAAATTGTGATAAGACAGCAATTACCAACAAATAGAAAACAACACATATATATATACACGTAAAAATACATTTTTGGTGAACATTGCTATATTCTGTAGTCATAGAATTTTTATTACATTACTTAATTCTGTAATAGGTAGTCAATACATGAGGTCAATGTCCAAAAATGTAGAAAAATGAACAGAGTGCAGAATATGTCTTTCTCGCCCCAGCCAGGTCCTCACTCCCTCAGCTATCATTGTTAGTACTCAATCACATTGTCACCAGTATCTTAGAAATACTCCATGGATATGCAGCATCTACACACACAGGATGGCTATTTTGGATAGCAAGACCAATAGAGAAAAATAAACCATTTTTCATATCCAGTTGTATTTCCTCTTTGTAGATTTTTGTGGAAGGGAGCGAAGATAAATTAGTTGAAAAATAAAGAGAATGGGAATGAGAGCCATGCATTTAGAGACTGTAAGTAAGGAACTGGCTTGTGTGCTGCAGTCAACGGGAATCTCACCTGTGGGGCAGACTGAGAAGGGGAGGAATGGGAAGAGATGGAAGCCAAGCAAAGGCAGTCTCTGAGGAGTGTGGTGACAGGGAGAACGGGAAGCATGGCATGGCATGGCAATAGTGAGGACATGTCAAGGGAGAGGGTCTCAGTTGGTGAGAAATGAGCAGGAAACAATGAAAGGATGGAACCCGGCATAGTGACCATGACTCACGTGCAACATGGAACGAAACTGCAACCCTAATGAGGATCCCCATCTCAGCGCATCCTACCTCATAGCTGCGCCTATCGTGGGAGGTCAGTTCAAAGCAGGATTCTTTCTTGGAATCTCTTCGCAGGTGGGGGGCCATCCGAACACTGTAGCCTTTAATGAGGAAGGTCCCTTTGGGCTGCTTGCCTGCAAGACAGAAAAGCTTCCTGTATCCCCAGAGGAAGGCAACTGCCAAGGGAAGGCATCTTCTCTGGTATGTAAAATAAAAGCCTAGGAACAGCTGTTACATCCCTGAGGAACCACAATAGTCAAGGAAAGGTTATTAGGGAAGCTTCAGAAGAGGCGACCGCGACAGTGAGGCAGATATCACTGCCAAGCTAGGGAAATGCAACATGAAAGGTTATTTTGCCAAAAGAGTACAACAGAGACAGAGAATTTATTAGAATGTTAAGAGATCTATAATAACAGAGAGAAGGAATTATTACAGCAGGGAGAGCGTGGCTGTAAACGTGAGGCTCTTGAAGGCTATTCCAGAGTGAAAACATTATTATCAGGGCCAGCAGAGCTCACATTCGAGGGGAGGGATGATAGCGCAGTGGGGGCATTATAAGGTCCCAGAATCTCCTCCCTGGCCCTGGGTGGCATTTGGGCTAAACTGCTATCCCCCACCCCTGCTGGTCAGGTGGGAATTTATGCTGGAGAGAGAATAATTAAAACTCAGTATTTCATCCTCCTTCCAAAAGGTCAAATGGGGAAGTAGCGGAGTACTACTGAGAAGCATTAGATGATGAGGAAAGAGATAAAAGGAAAAGGACTCTAAGTGATGGAAAAGACTATTGTGCTTGTCACCCCTGTTTTGAAAACAAAAATATTAAATGCAGAAAAAGAGGAAGTGGCACTCAGGATGTTGCGACCTCACTGTGCCGTTCAGACAGAACACAGAGGACAGCAACCGCAGCATCTGGGCGATGCTTTGTGTCCTGTATCATGTGGAATGAATTGCTTAGTAAATGCTTTTGATGATGATGAGGAGGAGGAGGATGAGGATGATGAGCGGGATGGCAGTGGGTTGACAATACTTAAGAACAGGAAGAGAAAGAACACGGTCCTCACCTGGTTGAGCCGAAAGAAATACGCCAACACTACACTTACTAAGAAAATGTCCTGGGCACAATAAGGAGTAACTGGCGAGAAGGGAGCCATGCAACAGTGCTTTTTGACACCAGAATCTTTTTTGTTAAAGTATCTCTCCTTGTTCTAACTGGCCACTAAAATGTTTTGTTGTTTCTTTGGTCACCAGATTTTATTTCACCCTGACAGCAAAATGGCCAATAAAAGTCCCTGAGTCCCCTGCTCTTGCTCTCCCTCCCTCCTCTCACTGTGAGTATAAAGGATTCTGAATGAACAGACACAATACCTGGTTTTATATCCAGATATGCCGACCACTTGTTTAAATGCAAGGGGACCAGCTCAGTGGTGCGGCAGCAATGTGCTGCACAAATGATGCTGGATCCCTGTGGAAGAGCACGGGATCAACTCCCTGGTTGATCCATACGTGCAGGACACGTACTCCCGTGACCCTAATTGGTTGGGAAGGCTCTATGGGAGATCTGGTTGAGGATACTTATCTTCTTCTTTCTCTGTCTCTCATTCTCATGAAAGAAACAAAAGAGAATGGTGAGCATTTTTACGATGACACAAATGTCACGTTAGTTTAAAAGTAAAAAAGTTATTAAGAAAATAACTCCTAGAATTTAGAGAAATCATGGATGTTGGATTTGAGAGTGGGATGGAGATTGGAAGGACACATGGGACTTTTTACTAGCTTTCAAACTACGCTGCTGTCATTTCCAAGTAGGAGTTCACACTTCACTCCAAAAGGGAAAGGTTCTGAGGAATCCGGGATGGTGGGATGGAAGGCGATTCCTCCAGCAGGCAGAGAGGCAGAGTGGAGCAACTGTCACAAACCCCGGGGGCATCTCTTAAGGATTCCAAGTTATCTGGCAAAGTTGTTAGTTCTTTATGCTACCTTAGTGCCAAAGGTGTAAGAAGAACCAAGCCAAGTGGGCGGGTGTCTAGTTATTCCCTAGACTAGATATCCAGGCATTGGAAGAAGAGTAAGTTTCAGAAAAAAGTAAAAAATGGAAGTGATTGGAAGGCAAAAGATACAGATAGAGATCTACTCTATCTGTATCACTGACCTATGTATGAAGGTGATGGAGCTTAGGAAAGCCGTGCACATAAATAAATAAAGCCCCTGCTTTTAATGAATGGATGAATACATTTTTTAGACAGGTCTTACTATATTGTGATCCTCCTGCCTCAGCCTCCTGAGGAGCCAGGACGACTCGGGAAGCTTAAGAAGAGGATTCTGTGACAGTGCGGTGTGTGTCACCAGGTCCAGCTTTTAGCATGGGCTGGGGACTGAACCTGGGCCTCCCATGCAGTTCTAGCCTGCTGAGCTGCGGCAGCTGGGTCCTGATGCTTTATTTACTGGGCCTTCCTCTCCCTTCCTGGAATTACTCTGGGAGCAGCCCACCTCTGCAGAAGAGTAGCCCACATTTCACAGTTTGCATTTATCTGCAATAATAATTTTTAGCATGTATCTGTTTGTAACTGCCTCCAATTGTGCTTATATCCTCCAGTCCTTCTTATGAACCGAGCAACTGTGTTAAACCTGGACGAGGCCTTCCAGGGATAGCGCCTACGTGCTGTGCTTGACTGAGTCAGCAGCAGCTCATTAGGAAACTGCCTCTCTGGCCTGAGTCAACACTTTGCTGCTGCTGCCATCTGGCTGAAGGGTGTCTCCTGGGCACAGCAACCATTTGGGTCTCAGTACTCCATGGCTCCAGAGATGTCCACTGGACTAGTTCCCAGTAGTCAGTAGAATCAAGTTTGGAGCATGCTCCTCGGGAGTTTGAGCTCTAGGAGTCTATCTCTGGGCTATTGTTAAGCTGTTTAAATCTTTCTCAGAATTAATTAGCTTCAATATTCTAGCTTTTATTTATTTATTTATTTGTTTATTTCCAAACTTACTCTTCTCTCAATGCCTGGATATCTAGTCTCTTTATTTTGGAGAGGTATTTGTTATAGGGCACGTGCACTCGCCAGGAAGACAGGGAGAGAGACAGAGAGACAGAAAGCGAGAAATCACCCCCCAGGGGGGATGGCCACACCGCAATCCCTTCTTCTCCATTCTCCTCTTGGGATCTTGGGCACACACACACACACACACACACACACACATGCCTGGTGTGAGTTTAAGCCATCGGGTCCGGGACTCGAACTGTGGTCGACTACATGGGAGTCCAGTGACATAGCCATTATGCCAACTGCTGGTCCAATATTCTAGCTTTTAGTTATTAATACTTACAAAGAATTCTAAGTGGTTTTTTTTTTTTTGGAATGCCAAAACATGGGACCAGTAGGTGACATGGTGGTTAAAGTGGCTGATCCAATTTGACTGACTATGTAGTTCAAGTTCCTAGACCCAATGGCTTGAGAAACATACCAGGTACATGTACATGCCCAAAATCCCAAAAGGAGAATGGAGGAGAAGGGATTGTGGTGTGGCCACCCCTCTGGGGGGGGATGTTTCCTTTCTCATTTTCTTTCTCTGTCTCTCCGTTGAGAGAGTATACATGCCCTACAGCAAATTGGTTTTTTTTTTTTTTTTGAGAGTTTCTTGCTATAGGGCATGTACACTCGCCAGAAAGAGAGAGACGGAGAGACAGAAAGTGAGAAATCACTCGCCAGGGGGGATGGCCACAACGCAATCCCTTCTCCCCCATTCTCCTCACGGGATCTTGGGCACGCACGTACACGTACTCGGTGTGAGTTTAAGCCACCGGGTCTGGGACTCGGACTGTGGTCAACTACATGGGAGTCCCGCGACACAGCCATTATGCTAACTGCTGGTCCCACAAATTTTTTTTTTAAATGAAAAAAATTAAAAGAATGACAAAACATTCCATTTTGATTATGTTCTGTTATTAATTATAATAAAAGATAATCCCTTTACATGGTGACCACAAATAGTGTTTAAAGGGCAGCTAATTTCTAAATTGGTCTCTGTTTTTGGTAATGGGCAAGGTACTACCTTCTCAAGCCTATTTATTTCCCAAGCTTGTCCCTAGATAGGTGTTAGTTAAGGACTGCTATCTTGAGATCTAAGTACTTGAGAATTTACAAAGTGCTTGCATCCAGGAGTGAGATGCTGCTGTGCGAATGAAGAACACTTACTTTTCTCATTAGCATAGTAGTAGAAGAAGCCTCTGCTGACAACACACCATCGCTTCTGCCACTCGGATCCAAAGAAACTATGATCTAAATGGAACAGCAGTAAGGGACATAAATTCAGGTAACTATAGTCACTGAAGAGTCCGTAAAATCCAACAACACACGGTCCACTGTGTTATTGTTTTATTTCCCAGGTTAATGGACTGTAAAGCCCTCCCTTTCACTCCCACAGGTTATCCCATATTGACTGAGTTCACAGGACTAGCTCAGTTAAAGGTCTAAGTTCTAAACAGGTTTGCCTGCTCTGTGTCCTTGCAGCTGTCTTTTCATCTGGCTTCCTTCATGTTTTTCAGGTTCTAATCTTTTCCTGTACTTCCCAAATTTTCTATGGTATCTTTATGTGCTGTCTTCAACGAACTAAAATGATACTCCAGGCCATGCCCATGAGACAATTGGTTTTTGCAATACAACTTGCCAATTTGCCTGTTGAACATTAAACCCGAGATCCTATCCCTAATACTTATTCTACTGGGTCATCAGAAAAGTCATGATGCGGGACCAGACATAACCAGCATAATGGTTACGTTGCTGGACACCTGTGTAGTTGACCGCGGTTTGAGTGCCCTTAAAATTCAGGCCAGGTATGTGTGTGTGTGTGTGTATGTGTGTGCCCAAAATCCCAAGAGGAAAATGGAGGAGGGATTGCTGTGTAGCCATTCTCTCTCAGGGGTGATTTCTTGCTTTCTGGCTCTCCAGCAAGTGCATGCATCCTACAGGAAAAATCTTTCAAAAAAAAAAAAGAAAAGAAAAAGCCTTAAGGCATTTTTGCATAGAAAAACATTAAAAAGTATGTTATGACTTTTCTGATGACCCAATAATTGAATGGTTAAAGGTCAAGAATTGGGCTTAACTGAAATTTGAAAGTAGGTTACTTCACATATGATATAAAAACTACATTCTGACCAGCCAGCCAGTGGTGTGGTGGTTAAGGCGGTTGGATCCCATATGGTGACTGTGTGGTTCAGGTTCCAGCCCTGCAGTTTGAAAAACACACCTGGCGCTTGTGCGTGCATGTCCAGAATCTTGAGAAAAGAGTGAAGAAGGGATTGCGGCACGGCCAGCCCCCCAGGGATACTTCCTCACTTTCCTCTCTCTTTCCCCAATGAGTGCACGTGCTCCAAAGCAAATTTTTTTTTTTTTGGAGAGGTTTTCACTATAGGGTACGTGCGCTCACCAGACAGACAGAGAGAGACAGAGAGACAGAAAGCGAGAAATCACCCCCCCAGGGGGGATGGTCACGCTGCAATCCCTTCTCCTCCATTCTCCTCCCGGGATCTTGGGCACGCATGCACACGTGCCCGGAGTGAGTTTTAAGCCACCGGGTCTGGGACGTGAACCGCAGTTGACTACGTGGGAGTCCAGTGACATAGCCATTACGCTAACTGCTGGTTCCCCCAAAGCAAATTTTTTTAAAAAAAAGTTAAAAACTATACTCTCAGCAACAGTTTTACTCTTTATGGGAGCAAACTGAGAGATGAAGACAAGAGTATCATTCATTCATTGTTTTATTAAGCACCGTTGTGTGCTAGGTGTTGGGGACACGATGGGAGCATGGCGCCTGTTGAAGCTCAGTCTGCTGAAACCTGGGCCACCTCTTCAGTTTATAGACACCGGGGTTCTTTTCTGCCTTTGCCTTGCTTTTGCCCTAGACCTGCCTAGTATGGTACTGGACACAGAAAAGGCACTCCATCTGTTGGTCCTGTTTTCCTCCTTTATCCTTCCCTTCCTGGAATGTCTTCCTGAGAATCTGATTAATACCTTTGCTTTTCTTCTCCAGGTACCCTTGCTTGATGATGTTATCAAGCTCTTGAGCTCCTTTTAGGATGTCTTCCATTCCTGAAAAAAGATAATAATCATCACAAAAAGCTTTCCTAAAAACACGACAAAATTTTCATTTATTTAGGCTACTTTAGATAATCCACATTAATGATGGGGTACAGAAGGGCAATTGCATAAACCCAGTGCAAAATAAAACAATTTCTGTATGATTGGGGGAAAAGTTAATTATCTTTCTTCCTAATTATATCTAATACTAAAATTGCTTAAAATGATCTAAACATACACTAGTTTGTGGCCAGGGGAGATAGCCTAAATATGTACTGATTGGCAGGAAAAGAACTCCAGAGAATTAAGAATTTGTTGTGGATATAAGCTCCAAATTGGATAATCCACATTGAGATAATCAAAAGTCAAATGAATAGCACAGACAAGCTTTAATGAGTGATAGACTCCACCATAAACACAAGTCACCTCAGAGGGAGCAAAAACACATACTCCCCCCCCCCAAAAAAAAACAAACCAGAAAGCTACCTTTAAGAACATAAATTTTATTAAGTTCACACAAAGAAATGCTGTGTAAGCTGAACTTAGCAATAACACCAAATCGTGGTTTCTTCAAAGTATAAAGAGTCTAAGACTCATAGAAGCCTGAACAAAGGAAGATGTGGAACTGATATTAGCTTTTAATTGTGTGCTGCTAACATTCTTGGCTTTCAATTAGCCTCGTTAGGTACAAATTTATGGAGAAGTCAAGATCCTAATCCATCTTCCTCCACTGGTGTTTATACTTACTTTACAGAAAAGATGAGCAAAGGACAGAAGCAAAGAAGTTTACTCCTCCTGACATAAAATGAAACAAAAATACTCCAAATGCTTTAAAGAATACAATGGTAATTTCTTAATTAGGCAAAACTAAGGGAGTGGGCTAGCAGAATCATTTTTAAAAAAGATTTATTTAGTTTAATTAATTAATTTTTAAATTTGATCAGAGAGAGAGGGTGAAAGTGAGAAAGCAACCGCTAGGTCTGAGACTCAAACTATGGTGGGACTCCACTGCCTTAACCACCACACCATCTGCCACCTCCTGTAACCGTTTTTTTTTTTTTTTTTTGGAGAGGTTTCTGCTATAGGGCATGTGCGTTCGCCAGAAAGACAGAGGCAGACAGAGAGACAGAAAGTGAGAAATCACCCCCCAGGGGGGATGGCTACTCTGCAATCCCTTCTCCATTCTCCTCTCAGGATCTTGGGCACACATGCACATGCGCCCAGAGTGAGTTTAAGCCACGGGGTCCATGACTCGAACTGCGGTGGACTATATGGGAGTCCAGGGACGTAGCCATTACGACAAATGCTTGTCCTACCTCCTATAATCTTAATATTTATTCTTTTCAGTCTTCAGACCCAAGTCTCTTATGGTTCATCTTAAAATGTTTATAAAGCAAACAAAATACACCACCAAATAAGGCACAACACACATAAATTGACTCGGTCACCAATGTAGTATCTTGAGACTTTTGGATGATGTAACCATTTTGCAATCAATTTGATTTTGAACATTTCCTACCATAACTAACGTGTATTTGGTGGTGGCTATGAATTAGCACCTTGTTCAATGCTTTACCTATTTTTTTAAAATAACATTTTAAGAGAATTTAAAATGCAATTAAACTTATTGTTTGCTTCTATAAGCTGTTTTAAGCTTAATTGAAAAAATGTACATCAGAAGAGCCTCTCTTTTTCTTTTTTATTAAATAATTATTTTATTTAAATTTATCTGTTTGTTTATTTATTTTAATTTGACCAGAGGTGGGGGGGAAGAGAGAGGGGGAGAGAGAGAGAAAGCAAAAAAGCAAGCCACCAGATCTGGGACTCAAACTACTGTTGGCCATGTGGGAGTCCAGGGCCGTCAACCACCATGCTACCTGCCAGCCCCTCTTTTTCTTTTTTAGTGTGTTTATGAGTCTGATTCTTTATCTGATTGGCCTTCATTGCCAACTTCCTTGTTCGTGGGCTATTTCACTTGTGTGTTTTACAGTTAACAAACTCTGTGGCTGCCACAATAAATCTTTCCAGATGAGTCTCAGGGTGCAAGCATGAGATGAAAAGCAGCAAAGGAAAGTTCATTTCTTTAGTATTCTTTCCTTTCTCCTAAAGCTCTGAAAATCTTATTATCCCTCTGAAAACACTCTCCAAAAGAGCAGTAGCAGATTCTACTAAGGAGGAGGCACTGGGTGGGGTGAGGACCTGCCAGGTTTGGTAGAGAAGGCCCTTTGAAGGAGAGCATGTCCTCTCTAAAGTGCTGTCAAAAAGTTGCATCTGGAGGCCAAGAAAAATTAAATGAAAGACACAGGGATCAGGAAAACAGGGTCCCCTAAGCTTGGAGTTTCCATCTCTTCTCAAAGATTTATTTTTTCTTTTTTAAGGTCTTGTTAAACTTAGAGATGCAGCTTCTTGTTAAAGATGCCAAGAGTCTGAATCATAAAAGACATGTTAAACGTTCTATTAGAATTCAAACCTCCTTTTTTAATGCAAATCTAAATGCCATTTTATGGAACATCTATAATTATGAAAATGGGAAGACATTGCCTCGTGTGCAGGGAGAGTCTGCGAGTATGAATATTACATTAATGTGCCCACACCAGCTCACTGATCCTGCTGGCAGGAGCATAAAAAATGCTTGAGTGAAACTTTTATTTAGATGTTAAGACTCCAGGCCCCAGCGGGGTGACAGAGACAGCCCCTGTGAGTTGCCATCAGAGAGAGAGCTTGAATTGAATTACCCAGGGGGGAGGAAGCAGTGATGAGCACTGCTTCGCTTATTTAATTTCATTTACTTTCAGTACATTATCAGCATGAGGCTTTTCTCTCCCCACCAACTGAAACCCAAGAATGCCACCACCAAGAAAACAAAGGCATCATGCAGCAGAGAGGTTTGAACTCCAAGTCACTGATTCCAGGAGAGGAGCCTCAGCAGCATCATAGACCATCTCTCTGAGTCCAGCTCGGTTCACTGACACTGGGCACCGAAGGAGATGCTGGATTTTCTCTCGGTCGTTCACCGGCAAGACTTCTGAAGAGTAATATAGCCGAAAATTGAGGGTTTTTGTTGTTGTTGTTTCAATATGCTGCATGTTTTGTGCCTAGTCAGATGTGTTCTGTTGCTTTCTTACTCGAGAGAATCTGTAGTGGTGAACCCTCCTGCCTGGTTTCCCCTTATAGGAAATCGAAAAAAAAAAGGGATATGAGCAAAGTGTGGAATGGTGGTAGGAAAAAAATTGGAAAGTATAATCAAATCAGCCTCTATTCTCTTGATTATCTTCTCTGTACCAGCCACTGCATGGTGAGTAAAGAACAGAGCTGTTCTCAACATAGAGGTGACTCGGGGCTCAATCTCATTGGCTCCATGATTTATCAGATGAATCTAGATAACCAAGATGGGAAGCCACTGTGCCACTCAAGCGCTCTCCTCCTTCGGTGTCAGCTCAGGTCCCTACTGATCAAGGACTGGTGACCCTGAGAACACACAGTGCCAGCTATGCTGTGGCATATGACGCAGAAGGAGTCTTACATGCCTGACTCCACACCTGCTGGTAAACAAACAGATCTGTAGAGAGCTACTTAATATGTAATGGAAAGTGTGCAAATGCTTCGTAGCATGACAATATTAAATAGAAAGAAGCCACAAACAGTTGTGTAAGTTTCTATTTTAAGGTAAAAACATTTATATTTAAGTATACGATGAAACAAAAAGAGGCTTTTTGTTAATTACCTAAGAAAAGATTTCATCAATGTAATAAAAAAATAGAAATGATTTTGATTTGTTGGAATACATGGCCCCCTTGGATAAAACTAGGGGTGTAACACATTATATCAACACAAAACAGAATTACATTAGTGTCATAATCTCTCTCTGCTACTTCACTTACTAAATCTCTCAGAATAGCCAATCTAAAGAAAATTCACTTAGCTGAAGGATGTGGGGCCATAAAGATAAAATCAACAGAGACATGTGTTACCCAGAAGTGATGGCCACCAACTTTCATGGCAGATGAAGATAAAAGAAATTCTCAGACATCGTTCTCTTCTCATCCAGATTCCTTTAAACCCTTGTGTCCCACCCACACTCAACTCTGCAATAAAAAACGACAGGGTGGTCGCAGTGCGATACATGACTCTTCAGTCAGCTATGCCCAGCAACAACAATGGGGACCTTTTGGAGTGTGATACATTTCCATAAAGTAGTCAATAAAAAAGACATGGGAGCTTCTGTGAGTCATGGCCTATTTAACCAGCTGCGTTCTAGCCCACTGAGAAAAGAGAATTGGAGAAATCGGTTGGTAACACCTCAGAACACGGCTGGCAGCACAGGAAGCTACACCACAAAAAGGCTGCAGCCCCTGCAGGACAAACCAGGTGCCCGCTAACTTTCATTATAGGCAGCTGGCCTGGTCTCTTGATTAATCAACCTGAAAAGGAAATGAATGTTTTTACAAAAATATCTGTTGTTCAACTCTTTCTCCCTCTTACATTGTGGACCTCTCCCATCTTTCCCCTTCCTTTTAAGTTCTTCTCAACTATTTTTAAAAAATAATTATTTTATTCATTATTATTATTATTTTATTTTGACCAGAGAGAGAGAAGGAAAGTAAGAAAGCAAGCCACCAGGTCCAGGACTTGAACTGTAGTTGGCCATGTGGGAGTCCAGCACCTCAACCATCACACTACCTGCTGGCTCCTTTTCAACTGTTTTTTAAAAAAGGGACCAAACTAATTCAAACCTAGAGACTGAAGTTACCAGGAGTAAATTTCATGTGCGGTGAAGTTTCCAGTTCCTTCACTAAATAATATGTATTAAGAACCTTGGAGAGGGACCAGCAGTTAGTGTAATGGGTATATCACTGGACTCCCATGTAGTCGACTGCGGTTCAAGTCCTGGACCTGGTGGCTTAAACTCATGCCAGGCACGTGTGCATGCGTGCCCAATATCCCAAGAGGAGAATGGAGGAGAAGGGACTGTGGCATGGCCATCCCCCCCTGGGGGGTGATTTCTTGCTTTC